TATTGCTATTACAGTATTGCTATTACAGTATTGCTATTACAGTGTTGCTATTACAGTATTGCTTTTTGTATCTTTGCTTTTCATATCAGTATCAGCAGTATTGCTTTTGCTTACTATGTATTTACGTCACACCGAAGTGTTCTACTACAAGCTACAAAGTACTGCATAATAATCATACGATCACACGATTGATCATATCATACGTACGGTACGAAGAAAAACCTGAAATAACACGGTGAGAAATCACAATGAAATCTCGTGTTATTTACACGAAAGTGTGAAATTGGGCATCGCAGCACGGATTTTGATGCTTATTTTGGTATTTCCGGTCGCATCGGAGCATGCTCCGAGCTTCCATTTGCAAGCACTATAACACTGATAAAAAACTAGACAATATGGAATCCAGCTTAATAAGCATACACTCGAACGCCTGATTTAGAAATCCAATCCAGGGGCTGATTGAATTTCAATCTGGTGTCGCGAGTGCCTCTCAAGCATCTGCTGGCTGCTCTTGCTAAAGCAAATCCAATTCTTGATTTAACAATGCTGCAAACTTGAGATTAGTGTCTGCCCCATTTGGCTGCAAGTTTGGCGCCAAGCTGCTTGCGGGCTGCTATTGCTTCCTTGCCTTCCATGCCATCAATGGAGTAGACCAGAGGAGTGAAGTGTCTGTGGGCCTCATGACAGAGATCCAAATATTTGTCCTTCTTCTCTCTTTCGTGCTGCCTGATTATTTTCCAAGGAACAGTCCCTTGGTAGGACTCTGCATCAGTGTCGGTAATTCTGACATCAAACACTGTTGTTGTGCCTCTCTTCCAAAAGTGGTACACGGAGAGATCTCCTCTGAGGTCTTGGTCTGGGGGTTGGGGGTTGCGGCTGCTCGTCTTCTTCTGAGTAGGGGACTGATAGGTTGGTATTCTTGGTTCATCAGTCACACAGCTCGGAGTTAGAGCTTCTGCACACAGTTGGTGCCACTCGCCGGCGATATCATTGTGTCGGTGGACAATGAATCCTCCCTTTTGGCAGGACATGGCGTGTTCCACGGTAAATTCGGCACAGCATCCATCACATCGTGCTGGCATGTGTTTTGGAGTGAGGCCAAATCGGAGGCGGAGATTGTTGCGGAATTCTTCTGCAGTCAACAATGTGCCATTGAGGACGTGGGGTGTGGCCGTCAGCCAGGCCCCCGCCGATTGCCCTCTGGAGATGTGATGTTTGTCCTGTGGTGATTTGGTCTTACTGAGTCGATTCAGTGAGATCTGAAGGGCAGCCTGACGGGCTTCCCACGCAGCTCGCAGGTTGCTTTTGACGTTGTTGCTGTAGGTCTGGGCGTCAATTGGTTCCGAATTCCGAAGGGAGGAAATCAGATCTTTTGGTGCAGCAAGGGACATGTCATAGTGGGCCTTTGCATCTTTGCGTGGGTCCGGCACACCAAGCCCTGCGAACCGAACTGGAAAAGCCAATAAGTCACGGAGTGTCGAGGTTGTCTTGACTGAGTCACCAAGGAGTGCAGGTAAAAAATCTTCAGCCAGTGCCTTCTCCACTGGAGCAAAAGCCTGTTCCATATCTGGGACCACCCATTGGAGGTAATTCCATTCCACCTGTAGGGATTTGGTCAGACCCGCAAAAGCAGCTTGAGGATATCTCCGTGCGGCGCCCGCAAAAAGCTTCACGCTTTTGATCCAGTGGTCAATCTGTGGTTGGAGCCATGCGTCTCGGGCTTCTGTGGTACTGACAAAACCTCCTATATATCGTGCTCCATCCCGAAAGTCAAAGTCAAATTCCTTGAGCACCTCTTGTGATTTCTGGATATGCCCTGGCATTCCCACAAAAATACTTTTAGAAGGCTCAGGAAAATAGCCACCACGTGCAGGGCCCAAGTCCTGGAGTACCCGCAGGGTGCCAGCAATTTCGGAGACCCGGCCGTGCATTTGTATTGCTATTTATATTGCTATTCGCGTCTTGTTTGGAGCTAGAGCTATATTACAGTATTGCTATTACAGTATAGTGCGACTATGTTGAAAATAGAAATAGTACTGAAATTACAACAGCTACTAGTATTACTATTTCTGTTACTACTTCTGTTTTTTGTATAGTAGTAGTACTACTGATACTGATACTGATACTGATACTGATACTGATACTGATATACTGATATACTGATATACTGATATACTGATATACTGATATACTGATATACTGATATACTGATATACTGATATACTGATATACTGATATGGCTAGAGCTGCTAGAGCTGGAGCTAAAGTTCAAGCTAGAGTAGAGCTATTGCTGGAGCTAAGACTAAAGCTAGAACACTACTATTACTGAAATTGTTCTTCAACTATAGTGTTACTGATAGTGGTGATACTGATAGTGATTGGCTATTGAAGATAGAACTAAAGCTTGAGTTAGAGTTGCTGTAAGTAGAGCTGGTTGAGCTATTGCTGGAGCTAATTGCTATTCCTACTATTGCTATTCCTATTGCTATTTGCTATTTGTATTCCTACTATATGGATTGCTATTTGTATTGCTACTACTACTACTTGTATTGCGACAACTAATTGTATTGCTAATATTTGGATTAGAGCTAGTACTAGAAGAGCTAGAGCTAGAGCTAGAGCTAGAGCTAGAGCTAGAGCTAGAGCTAGAGCTAGAGCTAGAGCTAGAGCTAGAGCTAGAGCTAGAGCTAGAGCNTTGCTATTACAGTATTGCTATTACAGTATTGCTATTACAGTATTGCTATTTCAGTACTATTGCTATTACAGTATTGCTAGTATTTGTATCTTTGCTTTTCATATCAGTATCAGTAGTATTGCTATTTGTATTGCTGTTCAGTATCAGTATCAGTATCAGTAGTATTGCTATTATTGGCATTATTATTTATATTGCTATTTGTATTGCTTTTGCCTACTATGTATTATGTTACACCGAAGTGTTCGACTACAAGCTAATCATATGATCACACGATTGATCATACGTACGGTACAAGGAAAAACCTGAAATAACACGGTGAGAAATCACAATGAAATCACGTGTTAATTTCACAAAAGTGTGAAATGGATCGGTTTCACTGCATCAAACATGATTCTGATGCAATATTTCCGTCGGAGCTTGATCCAAAATTTCCAAGCACCTCTATCGATGCTTTTTCTGAGCACTATATCTCAGTGGGAAACCCCACTGAAAACACTGATAAAAAACTAGACAAGATGAGATCCGACTGTGCTAATAAGCATACACTCGCACACCCGAGTGAGAAATCCAATCCAGGGGCTGATTGAATTTCAATCTGGTGTTGCGAGTGCCTCTCAAGCATCTGCTTGCAGCCCTGGCTAAAGCAAATCCAATTCTTGATTTAACCATGCTGCATACT